CGAGATACACGGAAACAGAAATGCCTATTTAAATATATTACCAGTGATGAAAATCTCCAATAATTTGATTTTGGTGTTTTATCATGACTATTCAATTTTTCATGCTCATCTTTTATTACTATCCTCTTTTAGAAGCTAATAAACATAAAAGGCAAGCTTTTAGTAGAAACCGTGACAAGAAACAATAGAGTCTGGGTACCATTTCTCAGATGCTGTTTGAGAAATGTAGAGCAAGTCCCTGATGGCCTGCCTTCTGCATCCTTCACGTGTGAGTCAGTTGCTAGGAAACGTGAAAGAGGGATTCAGTGTTAGGTCTGGAAAAACAGTAAGCAAGCTTAATACTTATCTGAATATTAACACGTCACCTTCATAAACTGTTGTCTACCTTAGGAAGCTGAAGATCACAAGTGATAATTTTGAGTCTCATCCTGTAACTACTATAAACAGATGCTGGTACCCACTGAAATAAAAAGTAACAGCTATAGGTATCATAAAATCTTTTTTTCGGCCAGAAACTACACTCATCCTGCTATCTAAACATACAGATAATAAGAACTAATCTTTTCATTGCTTCAAGCTGTATTTTGATATCGATGCACACACACACATATGCATGTTCACTTGCATGTGTGCACACACACGAAAGAAAAAAACACACATATCACTGCTACTAAGATACTTGCAGTAAAATTACCAGAAAAGCCAAAAAAAGGGACTATAAACAGTTTAAGAGAAAACACACACACACATGCACACATACTCTCACACACATGTCAAATGCAGTTCTCATTCCTTAGGACTTAGTCTACCTGAGCCTAAGAAACAGAAAAAGAACTCTGGATGGGAACTTGGGAAACATGGGATCCATGAATTCACTATGTGACTCTAAAAAAGATCGTTAACTTCTCTGGGAACAATTTCCCAGAAAACTAAGAAAGTAATGCTAATCTCAACAGGTTTTTCAGAGGATGGGATGAGATGATGCACACACTAGCCTTTTACAATTGTATAGCATCATACATGAAAACTTGTAAAAATGGCCATTCCAGTGAAAAGGAATATGAGTAGGACTAATACTTAAAAATCAAAATTAAGCCAACTAAAAATCATTAAGGGATGGAGAAGGTTTTTTTCACCAAAATCATACATAAATTACTGTTTCATTCATATTAACATCAAAACAGTAAATAACTTGGTGTGAACTACTAAGATAGGAAAGCTATGCTTAAAACAAAGAAAAAGCACAAGAAAAATTCACCTTGTGTATGTGCCTTAAAGAGGTTTTAAGCCTTTGCATTAATTCCTCCAAAATTTTAAAGTAGAAAAGTATATCAAACTATGAAAGACGTAAGGGTAAACTTTTAAATGGACTATCTCAAATACTGTCCTCTGTCTTTTCCATGCTGTAAGTAGCTTTACCATCAGTTCTACCTTAAAAAAACAAAACAAAACAAAACAAAAAAAAACTTACAAGCTGTAAAATCTGTAAACCACTACTAAATTCAAATTGGAACTGAATTTCATGCAGATTATGGGGTCTTTTAAAGATGTTTCTTACAATCCCAGTGGCCGACACCTATACTAGGAGCACTTAGTACTCGAAATCTGGGAGACTCCATGTATTAGTTTGCCAAGGTTTCATAACAAAATACCACAGACTAGATGGCTTACAAATAGAAATTTATTTTCTCGCAGTTCTGGAGGACAGAAGTCTAAGATTAAGGGGCCAAGAGGTCTGGTTTCTCTAGAGGCCTCTCTCCTTGGCTTGTAGATGGCCGTCTCCTCCCTTTGTCCTCACGTGGTCTTTCCTCTGTGCATGCGCACCCCAGGTGTCTCATTCTCATAAGACTCTCTCCTTGGCTTGTAGATGGCCATCTCCTCCCTTTGTCCTCACGTGGTCTTTCCTCTTGTGCACGCGCACCCTAGGTGTCTCATTCTCTTCTTATAAGGATATCAGTCATAGTGGATTAGGGCCCATATATATGACCTCGTTTAATCTTAATTACCTTTGTAAAGTACCTATCTCCAAATACAATCTCACTCTAAGAACTTTAACATGAATTTTTAAGGATATGATTTAGTTCATAACGTTCCACTTCTACTTGATCTCCATGGAACACTAAGAAATGCTGAACAGCAACCAGCCTCCCACACAGACTGCAACGCATTCCCCAAGGTCAGAAAAGTCCCCCTATTTATCAAGAGAGGAAAGAATATAGAAGGCATAGACATTTAGGACAATTATGTTAACGTACATATATATCAACATGACTGAGGAAACAGAAGTCTCTTGGACTCACTAAAAGGATGACATAAAAAGATAAACACTAGTATGTTCAGTTGTTTTAAGAAACTTTCCTCAACTCTGTCTACTAACTTTGATATTTACTCAAGCTGGGCCTTCAGCTAAAAGCAGTATATTGCTAAAATCCAATCTGGCAGCAAATATTGGGGAGAAGACACGAATAATAATCCATTATATGATGACTTTGAAGATTTTGTGTCAAAGGGTATTATAAAAAGTCATTAAAAAGTTGCTGAATATTTCTAAAATTGATCTGGAATAAAAATGCAGGTGAAAAGATGTTTTCTCTTTTAGCATGTGCTATAATCTCATCTTAAAGAATAACATCACAGAACACTTTCTTATACAAACATAATTATCTTAGATTTCTACAGTTTCGCCATCTCTGAATATTTTCTCATTTTCACCATCATAATGAGTCTGTGAGGTAAAGAAGGCAAGAAAAGATGAGGAAAATAAAACTCAGCAAAGTTAAATAACTTGCCTAAAGTCACAAACAAATTACCAAGGGAATCTGAATAAGAATGCAGGTCTTTTGACTTCTAAGTCAGCATCTTTATTCTTGGAACTTAATGAAACTACAATCTTGCAAAATTCATTTTATTTAGCATGACTGGGATGTAAAAGTCTATAAATAAAATTAAATTTGCCGAAATTGTGCACATAATCACAAAATGAACGTAGACTGATATAAAAAATAATTCTGACCACTTCTTCGACAACAAATATAACATCTTTAAGATATTAGTTGTCTTAAATTTTAGAAACAGCATTTTTGTTGCCAATTTATTTTACTAGGCCAAATAACTGAGTAAATATAATAAAAGTTCAAAGCAAGAAAAGAAATTCCCATAATTAATAAGGAATAATTCAACCGAGTAACCAGAAGACTTTATTAACTAAATGATCTTATTAATTTACCACACGCATTTTCACTAGGCTATCCCATTCCTTCAGGTAACCAAAATTAAGGAGAATTACTGAGTTGCTGGACAACTACATTTTAACCAATCTGGTTAAAGAAACTAAGCTAATTTAGCCTGAAGGGAAAATCAACTACAATAAAACTTGTTTTATTGAGCACTTAATAAGTGTCAGGCTAAGTGCTTTACGTACATTGTCTCAGACCTCACAACCACTCTATGAAGTGGGTACTACCTGGTATCCATTTAACAAATAAAGAGATGGCACTAAGGTTAAGTAACATATTCAATAACCTATTTTTAAAATGTTGCCGAGCCACGATTCATAACGAGCTCTGTTTAACTCCAAAGCTTATAGTGTTTTTCACCCTACTCCCTCGATCTCAAACACAAAGAATAATGAGATATTGCCTATCGCAACTGAAAATGGGCAAAGAAATGGATCTCCACCACAACAAAAATAAATAAAATTCCTAAATAGTGTGCACTAATTAAGTAGAAAATGAATGAATGAAATTATAGAATTTCCTTTAAAAGTCTTTTTAAAAAAAAGAACAAATTATCTTCATTCATTCATTCTTTCAGGCAACAAAATTGTTGAGCACATGCCATGAAGCAGACATTGTCTTAGGCCCTTGCAACTCTAAGAATAATGTGATGTGATCTCTTCTCTTGAAGGATTCAAAGTCTACCGAGGAAAGTCAACAAAGAGATTTTAAAAGGCATTAAATGGGCAATGGCATAGACTACAGTTACAAAAATGCCTTATGAAGGGGTTTCATAAAACTTTTTTCACTCTCCTTGCAAACTAGTGACATAATAATATTCTGTTAGTTGAGAAAAGGCAAATCTCTGATGGGTCAAAACTATATGGACCAAAAACACAACTTTCTGATAGGCTTGATCCAAGGATAAACTTTATACTATCTAAACAAAGTGATTTTTATGTTATATAAATTTTATCTTAATAAACAAATTGCACACAAGGATGAATACATTTGAAATCTTTCAGAATTTCATTTTTAGTTTATTGGGGTGACATTGGTTAATCAAGTTATATAGGTTTCAAGTGTACAATTCAATAATATGTCATATGTATAATGTATTGTGTGTTCAACATCCAAATATCTTTCAGAATTTTAATCAAAATATTACTTTAATCAAAGTATTGCTTTAATCAAAATATGACCTTTAAGTATAACATGAAAGAGAGATCTCAAGTTATACTATTTTAAAGAACCTGTTAATGAGCCAACCTATTATATCACAATGTCTTCTCCATAAGGACCAATAGAGCAAATGGGACTTCATGTTTCAACACCAGGAAAAGATGCATTTCTTCTGAATAACTGGTAAATTTTTATCAAATGAACATCATAGATATAATAAATGATCACACTGTCCCCCTTTCCCCTGGCTGTTAGCATTTTTATACAGTGACATTTTAATTTATTATTATATCTACCTTATTATACATATACAAGAATATAAAGAGGCTTTTAGAAATACATTAAAGCAAATGCAAATAGCACAAAAAATTAAGCGATGAAACCTCAGTTAGAGACCCTGGTTCCTGGTTAAGTCCCATAACTAAATGACTCAATAGGTTAGTAATGCTTATAAAAGAAACATGAAACTGTTAAGAGCTTACAAAAGAATTACATGATAGACTGTTATGTTAGTGACCTTCCAATAATGTCCATGAAAGGACATGACTATCCTTTTGAACAAAATATCTGTCTGAACACTCACAGATACTAAATAGCATGTTATTCCAAGGTGATCCTCTCTCCAAGGGGCCAACTAGTACCCCCAAAACCCCCCAGAAAGCTAACGACATAGGGGAAATTCTGGCATGCCCAAGGTCTGTGAGGGTAAGGGAATGTTTCTTTTTGATCTTGGTCTGCCTACATATATGCCTAAGTCCTCTTGTCTCCTCATATACTGAAGTTGTCATGGGCCAGAGGTGTGCAGCCGTTGGCTTCAGTCATCAACCACGACTTTCCCACCAACAGGGAAAATTATATCTAATGACTTGGTCATGGCAGACATTTTGGCCATAAGGGTGTGTGGCTATCAACATTATGACAGAAAAGACAACGGGATCTCTTGGGACAAAGAGACCTTAATACGACATCCACTGAAGACATGTCCTTCAGTGTTGCAACCTCATCTGAGAGGTCTGTCAAGCCCAACTAGGGTCCAGTTCCGGGAATGAGGAAGAAATGGAGCAGGAGGAGAAGGAGTCAAGGTGTAGATATCTTTGTCATAGTTCTCTTTTTAAAAAATGAATAAATAAATACAAGTTTTTGAGGCTAAAAAATAAAAAGAATTTTTTAAATGTTATATGGACTTTGATCTAACCCAAAGGAATGTTTCAATGTCTATACTTCATTAAATGCTTTTATTAAAATTCTAGAATCACATTGTGCTGAACAAGTACTATTACTGAAAATAGATAAAATGTATATAATTGTTAATGATGCTCAATATTTTTTCATTTTTATATCTATTTTGAGATTCTAGCTATCAAGTCATGTCTTCATATAGGGTTTAAATTCAATAGTACTGCAATATGTAAACAGAAATAAGATATTTCCAGGATTTATTTATTGTACAATCTGAATGATCAGTTTTTCAATAAACTATATTTAAAAAGCAAAACAAAACCCACAAAAAGTTGTATTTTTACTAAGTAACTGAAAGTACCTAGTCTGAAATCATCTTGTTCACATCTATTCACTTATCTTTAGTTCATACTATTTCATAAAATAAAGTATTTTCAGGGGAAAAAATCTATTTTGAACAATTTAAACACTGAAACACTTATAGTAAAAAAAAAAACAAAAAAACATATGGGTTAACCATTTTTTGCCTTATTCTATTTTACTAACCAACAGTCACAAATATCTATTTCATAATAAATAAACCACAAGTTTATGGGATAAATCTCCACTATTAAATTTATTTTCAGTTGGAATACTTGAAACAGCTGTTGACTTTAGATAAGGAGCTGACATTTTTATGAAGTACCCAACCTTACAAATCATAATGGCTCTTAATATGAGTGACAGCATTGAAAGGTAAACATGTATTAGTAATTTCAAGAGTAAAATTTCTGGAGGCTTCTGGAGTAACAAACTGCTAAGCAAAGAAAGAAATTTTTTTATTCCTTATAGCAACAATTATTACAGTTTCTTTTTGTTATTAACTTATAAACCTCTCTTTACTCCAAAAAAAAAAAAAAAATTAAAGCAGTGAATATGTTTGTAACTTGCAAATTAAGTTAAATATCTCCTTATTCTACCACTTTATATATAAGGACAGTATTAATGTAAATTGAACAGATGGGGCATTATATTTTAAAAACAAGTAATTCTGCTTTTTAAATGAGTGAATCTCTGATATTAATTCAAAGAACTCTAAATTCTGATAGCTAGCAATAACTTTCATTATCAGTTTAACAGGCAATTTAAGAGTTTATTAAAATACTATCTAATTATTTACCAACAGTAACCGATTAACAATATAAAATGAGGCATTACTAATGAATTACAATTCCCATAGTTTATAGTTTTAGATTTTCTGATAGTAAAAACACAATTAATTATATCTTAAAAAAAACCTCAGAAGACTATGCTTAACAGTGAACAATTTCAGTTATCATAATGTAAATCACCAGTACACCATTAGATAGATGAAAGGACTTTCCGTAAGGTGGATATTGGGGTTAGAGATACTTCTGTCTTGTATGGCTCACATTATAATGATTCTAAAATTGTTTTTGAAAGATGTCCATCTGACTTATTACAAGTCAGAATTAATTCATTCGGCAACTTTTCATACGATATTTGTCTATCTCTGAAGGCTATAGTCATCAAGGGTAAAATAAAAAGTACCTTAAAAAAAAAAAAAGACTTTTCCAAAACCTGCATGCCTCAACATAAACTGAATCAATGAGAACTGTGGTGATAAACCACATTTGAACGTTTATAAACCCACACAATGACTTAACAGAGGGGGAAAAAAAGTCATTCCTTTTACTAGAATTCAGCAGAGTGAAAAATAAACCACATGAGATTCCAATCAGCAGTATAAAGTATGATTATTCATAACACAAACTATGGATCAATAATTCAGATCTGTGATTTGTAGGTAAGAGAAGGATGCTCATTTAATGGGCATATCACTCATAGGCTCACTGTCCCGCTCTGCGCTCCACCTCCATCCTCTCCCCCAATGAAGAACAACAGGATTATAATGGAGATGCGACAGAGAGACTATGTGAAAACCACTGATCTAGAAATAGAAATTTATATACAGTTCGCCAAAAAAAAAAAAGCTTTTGTAAATTAAAAGTTACATAATCAAGAATAAAACTGATTTTTAAAAAAGCAATACTTATATCAAAGGGAGCTTATGAATTATGCTAGCCTTAACTTCCACTTCAAGTAGAATTGTGTATGAATAACTCTATTGAATAACTAGAATCTTAACTTTTAATACATGATTTTTAATGCAGTGCTAGCTTCCTAAGAAAGTAATGAATATCTCCAAAGAGCAAGAAAAAGACACGAAAACAAGAGTTAACCAAATAATGAATGGAAGAACCGAATTTCAAAGTCAGAGTTATTCTGTAGGCAAACTCCAATATAATAAGGGTTCTTGAATCCTTAAGTCTAGGATTGGCGTGCCTTAGGCACGCTGCTGCATACTGCGTAGCTAATTCTGAGACTCCTGTTAAAGTGGATTGTCAAAGGGGCTAACATCAACACAATTCCTTGATGTGCTTTAATTCCTGATATAAAAAAGCAAATCCTCTCCAAAGAGAAGAAACCTTCAGTAAGAATTGTTTTTTTACTTTAAGAAAGATATCGATTGTTGCTGTTTTATATCCCACATGAGTAAAATCATATTGTTTTTCCGTGTTTGATTTACTTTGCTCAGCATGATATTCTCTAGATCCATCCATGTTGTAACAAAACAACAAATGAACAAGCAAAACAAACCAAAAAACTTACCGACACAGACAACAGTATGGTGATTACTAGAGGGAAAGGGAGAAAGGGGAGGCAGAAGTGGGTAAAAGGAGTCAAATAGATGATGATGGAAGGGGATCTGACTTAGGGTGAACACATAATGCAACATACAGATGATGTATTATAGAATTATACATTTAAACTTATGTAATCTTATTAACCAATGTCAACCCAATAAAGTTAATAAAATTTTAAAAAGATATCCACCAAATCTATAATTTACTGAGTACTTACAAAGAAAATTTTCATATTATTTCATGTAATACCACAATAAAAAAATACAATAAAATGAAAATAATTATTCCCATTTTATAGATGAGGAAACTGAGACACGGAAAGTTTATGTAACTTATCCAAAGACTAATAATTGGTGGAGGTGGAATTTATGACTAAGTAGCCTAATTCCAAAGCGATATCCATATCCACCACCTTATTCTGCTGCTGTACTTATGCAAACAATAATTATAATAATAAACTTTTATGTGATTATTGTGTGCCTAGCACTGTTTCAAGCCATTTAGTTGTATTAACTAATTTAATTCTCACACCAACCCAATGAAGTTTACAGATGAAGAAACTGAGTCAATCCCACTGTCGAACTCTCTATGAATTCAGTGTTTATTACAAAAAAAAATCTTAAAATGAGGTAAAACTAAAGAATGAATCAAATGTCTAATTTCTATTTTCAACAAAGCAGACAATAAGTCTGAAGCACATATGCTGGCTAGATCTAGATGATACCCAAACTTTGAGGTCTTAGAATTAATTCAGCTTCCAAAAGACATACTAGGCAAATGGTGAAAAACCTTGGACCTTTCAATGGTATTCAATACACAAGTCAAGCTGGAAATTACATTTGCTAATCCTCTATTCTACTCCAATCACCAAGCCTGGCCCTTTACAAACATCATCTCATTTAATCCTCACAACAATTCATAAAGAGACAGGTATTGCTGTTCTTGTTTATATCAAAACATTCAGATTCAGAGAAGTAACTTTCCCAAGGTTACCCAGGTAATAAGGAACAGAGCTCTTATTTAAACTTTGTCTATCTTCATACAGAGAACATGATGACTAAGACATCCTAATTCATAAATATAAAAATGTAAAATTCTTTAATAGAAATGCTGTAAGGCCATGAGGTGGCGATATTATTCTGCGAAGTGATCAATCTCTCAGTCTTCCTCTCTGCCTTCCTTCCTCCTCCTCCCTTCACAGCCTATTGTCTCTCCTTGGATTTCAATACATAGTAGCATACAAAAAAGAAAAGTTAAAAAAAGAATAAAAATCCTTTTAGTTTTATGATATACAACCTTTAGCACTGATTTATCACTAATATCGGCATTCTATAATTTATTATCCTTTGATTAAATTATGTATATTTAAAATATCTTCCTCAATGGATAAATTTTCAAAATTGCCTTTTGGAGGAGAGAAAGAGACAAAAACCAGGGTTAAATCATTAAATCTGTTACTTTTGTCCTAACCATTCTCTTCTTCTTCTCTTTCTCAGTTGTACTGTCTCTTCTCCCCTCTGCTTTCACTCAGTGTACATTATTATTATTACCATTACTATTTAGAGATATCAGTATTAACTCATATTTAGCTTAATATAGGTATACATGGTTACATGTAGAAATGTTTCCTGATATGTGTACCTACATGGAATTGTATACACACATATTTCTCTGTTCTCAGCTGAGAGAGGCTAGAAGCAATGAGCATACCAAGGACCAGATCTTGGTTTTTAAAACTATCCTCCAATAAAAGAAAGTTACAGAAATGACTGACCCTAGATCTGGGGCAAGAAATAAAAAAATGATAGCTCTGAAACACCTTGTAGAGAAACTAAGGAAATGCTAAAAACAAAACAAAA